GGGCAGAACGGTTCCCAGTGCCTATATGATTTTATTGCCTTTTTTTTTAATAAAGAAATTCTGTTATTGTTCCAACTTTAAATTACAATTCCGGATTTACTTTCAGCTTATGTGATGCTTGATTTGGCACATGGTCAAGAACTAATGTCTTTTGCTGACTGAATTTATCTACATTGCCATTTCAGTTGGATCTTTGCTAGAAAATGGCCAGGTTTCGTAAAAGGACCCCAGCTGGGAATATTGTGTGGTTTTCTGTCCCTATTCACGTGGATGATTGTTATCTCACCGGTTATGGTGCTTCTAATGTGGGGATGCTGGCTAATAATGATTTTAGGGCGAGATCTAATTGGTCTAGCTGTTATCATGGCTGGGGTTGCTCTACTTTTGGCATTCTATTCTGTTATGCTTTGGTGGAGAACACAATGGCAAAGTTCAAGTATGTATATATATTTGTGCTGGATCTTTGACTTGCAGAAATATACTTAATAATTTTTATTTAGTCCCTAGTGATTATGGGGCCAAAGTGATCCATAAGAATTAGAATCTTACATAATACAACCGAAAATGTACAAGAGGTGGCTGCAGGCACATCGTTCCCAACAACATGTGTTTCAACAGAGTTAATGATGTTCAAAACAGAGGCTTAATAATGTCAGATCAAATTATCTTGTAAGCGACGATAAGCCAGAATCATTAAATATAAGCTTAGAAACACCTGTCACTAGTCCTCAATATCAAAGCTCATGCATTACTGTCAACATTATCTATCCCATCCTCTGTAAACTGTTGAGGATGTCTCCCTCAAATATTAGTTGTAACTGCCTATTACTTGGAAAATAATGGGATCAGAGGCTGCATGTTTTGTCCAGGTATGAATAGTGTAGTCCTAAACTCAGATCATAAAAATTTGCCTCGTCAATCTTTCTGCAATCTTGTTTAAGCAGAACAGCTAAATGATATGAGCAGCTCCAAACTGTAGTGCTTCAGAATGGAAATTAATAATTTGGCTAGTATTGGTCTTCAATATATTATATAATCTATATGTGTGTGTGTGTGACAAGATTTCTAGAATTTCTATGATTCAATCAATGATCATTATGTTTAAGTTGTTTTTGATATTCACACCTCACTAAGCCAAGTAGACAACTAAATATAGTGAAGCTGATTTCCTGCTCTATCCTATTATAGTTTCATTCTGATCCATTGTTGCTAATCCATATAACAACTTGGTACAGGGGCTGTTGCTGTTCTTCTTCTTCTAGCTGTTGGGTTGCTATGTGCATATGAACTTTGTGCCGTCTATGTTACTGCTGGTGCAAAGGCATCTGAACGGTATTCACCTTCTGGGTTCTTCTTTGGTGTCTCGGCAATTGCTCTAGCTATCAATATGCTCTTCATCTGTAGAATGGTTTTTAATGGTAAGCTGAAGATGTGCATTTTTTTCTTCCTTTGAACACCTAAGCCTTTTATGTTATTTCGGGATTATGTTATTCAGTTTTTGGATGATTCTGACAGGAAATGGTGTAGATATTGACGAATATGTGAGAAGGGCATATAAATTTGCTTACTCTGATAGCATCGAAGTAGGCCCCGTGGCTTGCTTACCTGAACCACCAGATCCCAATGAATTATACCCTAAACAATCTCGAAGGCAAGCCTCACTTTTAATTGCAAACATAAATGAATATTTGCTTTACTAATTTGTCATTCTTGGAATGTTTTGGCCTTGTTGATCTTATCAATGCTATTTGCATTACACTTTAGTTTAAGTATAATTGCTTGTATACTGCATGGCCCGAAAATTATTTTTTAATCAGTCCATACCGTGTTGATTGTTTCATGTTATGCCATTTTACTTGATATTGGCAGGGCTTTACATCTTGGGCTTCTCTATTTCGGCTCCCTCCTTGTTCTCTTTGTATATTCAATCTTATATGGTCTGACCGCCAAAGAGTCGCACTGGCTTGGAGCAATTACATCCGCTGCAGTAATTATCCTTGGTATATCCACCACTACATAAATCATAATTGCATATCTCCAAATTCTTGAATATGATATTTATGGTTATCATATCCTTATTTTCCACTCGCCAGATTGGAATGTCGGAACATGCCTCTATGGATTCAAACTCCTCAAAAGTCGTGTTGCTGCACTTTGTGTTGCTGGGATCTCTCGTGTCTTCCTGATCTGTTTCGGAGTACATTACTGGTTCGCACCATTCCCTGTTAACGAAAAGAACATTTGTTTCTGGAAATCAAGTATGTTAAATCTTAAACCAAATTTTCTTTGTTACAGGTACCTAGGACACTGTATCAGCTATGCCGTTGTGGCGTCTGTGCTACTTGGAGCCGCTGTTTCCCGCCATTTGTTCATTACGGATCCATCTGCTGCCAGAAGAGATGCTCTGGAGAGTACTGTGATCCGCCTAAGAGAAGGATTCCGTAAAAAGGAAAACAGCTCGTCCAGCTCGTCCGAGGGCTGCGGTTCCAGCGTAAAACGCAGTAGCAGTGCAGATGCTGGCCACCTTGGTAATGTTACGGCACCTTGCACTGGTGAGCTCACTAGTTGGAATACTGTTGAAGGGATTCCTAGTGACAAAGGGATTGATAGTGGAAGGCCAAGTTTTGTTCTACACAGTGGCTCTTGTCATTCGGTTGTTCAGGAAACTGAAGCAGGGCCCTCTTTTGTCGATAAAAACACCGACCACCATGGCTGTTTGGTAGCTTGTTCAAGCAGTGGCATGGAAAGCCAGGGTGGCGACTCTAGTGCATCTAATTCCACAAGTCAGGTTCTGGACTTGAATCTGGCGCTCGCATTCCAGGAGAAGCTAAGTGATCCAAGGATTACATCTATCCTGAAAAGAAGAGGGACACAGGGGGAGATTGAGTTGATGAGCTTGCTGCAGGATAAAGGGCTCGATCCCAATTTTGCCGTGATGCTGAAGGAGAACGGGCTGGATCCCATGATCCTTGCTTTGCTGCAGCGGAGTAGTCTGGATGCAGATAGGGACCACCGTGATAATACAGAAGTGAATGTGGAGGACTCGACCAGCGTTGACAATATCCATCCTAATCAGATTTCATTTTCGGAAGAGCTTAGACTCCGTGGTTTGGAGAAATGGCTTCAGCTGTGTAGGCTGGTCCTGCACTGTATAGCTGGTGCTCCTGAGCGGTCGTGGCTTCTCTTCAGTTTTGTGTTTAGCATAGAGACCACTGTTGTGGCCATTTTCCGGCCAGCCACGATTAATCTGATAAACACGACACATCAACAGGTATGGGTGGTAAAGATTTTCTGGGCAAAACGTTATGGTATCTGTGATTATAAAGTTGAAAGCATCGATATTTAATACTGACCCACTGATTGTGTGTTTGGTGCCCTTTTTCTGTAGTTTGAATTTGGCATAGCAGTGCTGTTACTATCTCCTGTAGTTTGGTCCATAATGGCGTTCCTTAGGACACTTCAATCTGAAGAATTGTCTCTAACTTCCAAACCTAGGAAGGTACGCTACCATCAATATAGTCATTTTGCATCTATTGTTGATGCAGTTATTACTTCACTTGTTTGAAGTTTTACGTTTTCAGACTGTTCATACTTCATATTATCTTGTTATATTTTCTAAAATAAATTAGTGGCTTAAAGCTCGCAGGATTACGTTGCAAATTAGATATTTTGCTAGGGTTAGTTATTTGAGTCCTTAGTCTTTTGTAGAGGGGCTGCTGGAGAAGTTTCGTGCTTTTTGTTCATCCCTATTGTTTTATCTCAGCAGTAAAATTATTTAGTATTTTTTTTTGTTTCCTATTTTTTTATTCCTTATATTTCACTCTTAACAGTTTCATTAGTTTGAAGGTTCAATTATCAATCTTCTTAAATTATCAGTATTGCAATTGTATTCATTTGAAGAAAATAGCACATATGTATAATTGTATATCCTCTTGCTAGCCACCATCGCTCCTCCTGCATTGATCCTCTTACATTTGACCTACTATGAATAGTTCCCTGATTGAATTTTATTTTGCATGACAGTCAAATATTTTCTCCAGACCTTAAAAGTTTATCTGATCATGGATGTGTGCATTTAACTAATAATTTATTCTAAGGTCCTCAAGGTGTATTGGTTACATTGGTTCCTTTAATTCTTTGGCCTTTCACATGGCTTTCCTAGTGTCCATAGTGTAAGATATGTTGGTTTGGTATATGTTATTTCCTGACATTCCTTGGTCTGGTATATTTATGCGATGCTGGTTTTAGTATATTTGCCTTACGTTTTTACTGCAATGCAGTATGGCTTCATTGCTTGGTTTGTGAGTACTTCAGTTGGATTGTTGCTTTCCTTTTTGAGGTATGGTTCCCTTAATCATGTTTGAAATCATAAACACTACATATTCATCCATCTCGCTATCCGAACTGTGACACTGTAAAGCATAATATATTCCCTCCTTTGACTGTGTGTGCTTGTTCTTGCAGCAAGTCGTCTGTTCTTCTGGGATTGTCCCTGACAGTACCTCTGATGGTGGCATGCCTATCTGTTGGTATTCCGATATGGATTCGCAATGGTTATAACTTTTGGTTTTTGGGTGGTAGTAATGCAGCCCATACTGAGAATCCTTCTTTTACAAGGAAGGAGGTATTGTATTCTCCTTTTCTCGGATGCCTGAGTTTGCTTAATTCTTTGTCATCCTAGTTCAATGTTGTTTGAATATATTCTACTTTCTGAGGAACTGAATCATGCTGTCCTTCTACCATAAATCCATGCGAGTTGCTATAACTTTGTATAAAACACAACATGGGTTGGGAAGTTATATAGTACTGACTAATCTTAACATGTGTAGCTATATATTTTATAAAAACGAATTGTTTCACGCAAATTTTCACCTTATCTAATCTTCATTGGGTTTGTTGCTTAGTTAAGCAGCCGTCATGAATCGCATCATGATTTGTATGCTTAGAAGTTCTTTAAATCCCTAATTTTAATTGATGAAACTGTCACAATTTGATGTCAGGGCGTTGTTCTTTTCGTCTGCATTGCTTTGTTTGTTGGTTCTCTTTTAGCTCTCGGTGGTATCATATCTGCAAATCCTTTGGATGATTTAAGCTACAAGGGCTTGACTGGCAATCAGAAAAGTCTTTCGTCTCCATATGTATCATCCATTTACATTGGCTGGGCAGTGGCTTCTGCACTTGCATTAGTAGTTACTGGCGTGCTGCCTATAGTGTCATGGTTTGCAACTTATAGATTTTCTCTTTCCTCTGCCGTATGTATTGGATTGTTTGCAGGTATAATTTTCATTTTGTGATGTATGTCTTACTCAATTGATCAGCTTGATGTGGCATTTCATTACTGAGCAACAATTTGCCATTTTTAGCTGTGCTTGTGTCATTTTGTGGGACATCATTTATGATGGTTGTGAATTCAAGAGGTGACCGGACTCCGATCAAGGCTGACTTCCTTGCGGCTTTGCTTCCGTTGATTTGCATGCCCGCAATATTGGCACTATCTTCTGGTTTGCTCAAGTGGTATGTGATCATTTTGATGTACAATTTGTGCCGTCTTTTGCCCAGTTATGGTTCTTGAATCTATACTATATTTATTCTCGAGGATGTTATGTTTAACAAGGACTAACATTTGGAGTATATGATTGTAGGAAAGATGACAACTGGAAGCTTTCTCGAGGTGCTTATTTATTTATGATCATTGGCCTGGTTCTGTTGTTCGGGGCAATTTCAGCAGTTACAGTTATAATTGAGCCATGGGCGGTGAGAAAGCATTTGGAGAACTCTTTACTTTTGTGTTGTAACTCATTTTGCCTCAGCTAACATGGCTGTCTTTACTATAACAGATTGGTGCAGCATTCCTTTTAGTTATTCTTCTTTTGGTCCTGGCCATTGGCGTCATTCACTACTGGGCTTCGAACAATTTTTACTTGACGCGGTTTCAGATGCTATTTGTTTGTTTCCTTTCCTTACTTCTGGGTCTTGCAGCGTTTATTGTTGGTTGGCGACTAGGTAAAATATTTTAGCATTTCCACCTCACCGATCCTTTACCTAATAAGTTGAAAAAGTTGAATTACCCTGACTCATTTCATTTAACCAAAGATCTAAATTATGTCCAATCTGTCTGTTGATGTAACATAATTTCAAATTTCTGCAATTTTCAGATATGGCTTTTGTGGGTGCATCCGTTGGTTACTTCTCGTTTCTATTCCTGTTGGCTGGAAGGGCCCTAACTGTGAGTTGCATATGACTACTCAAGATGCCACATTAATTTAGTTGTCACTATAAATATTGGTGTTCACCTTTTGTCATCATATTATATCCTTTTCCAATATTGGCTGCTTGGATTTTGCAGGTCCTTCTTTCTCCTCCAATAGTGGTTTATTCTCCAAGAGTATTGCCGGTATACGTTTATGATGCTCATGCAGATTGTGGGAAAAATGTCAGGTTTGTTAAATTCCTCTATTACTATCATTATTCCCTTTTTTAAGGTTTATAAATATATATTCTGATTTTCTTGAACACACACTTTTCAGCTAGAAACTTCTTGATTCCTAAGATTAATATTTGACAATATATCTTTATCCAGTGCTGCATTCCTTGTGCTTTATGGGATTGCATTGGCGATTGAAGGATGGGGTGTTGTTGCCAGCTTGAAAATCTACCCGCCTTTTGCCGGTGCTGCTGTTTCAGCTATTACGCTTGTTGTGGCCTTTGGCTTTGCCGTGTCACGTTCATGCTTAACCCTTGAGGTTTAATTCCTCATCTTGACCCATTATACAGTATTTGAGTCACTTAGAAATGACATTGATAAACCCTTATTTCTGGTTAAGGACCACCTTGAATCATTTATTTATTCTACAATCTTGAATCTCTATGGTCAATACTCATATTGTATGTTTCTGAATTCATGCCCCTCTTCCATTTTTTATCATTCGTTTTTTTAGATGGTGGAAGATGCTGTTCACTTCCTCAGTAAGGACACTGTGGTACAGGCTATCGCTAGATCTGCAACAAAGGTGAGACCAATCAATCACTTTACATCAGACAAAGCCCTACTATTTTATTTGATATCAGTTTATCATAAATGATATAGGCATGTCGATTTTCTGTTTGAAATCTCTTTACCATATGATTCTTGAGCAGAAAATCATGGATATCTTACGGACCCAGTCTGGTAGACTCCAAGATGTCTAGATGGTTGTCTAAATAATAAATATGCTTATTATGCAGACAAGAAATGCTTTGTCTGGAACATACTCAGCTCCTCAAAGGTCGGCCAGTTCAGCTGCACTTTTGGTTGGGGACCCAACCATTTCGCGTGATAGGGCAGGGAACTTTGTGCTTCCTAGGGCTGATGTCATGAAATTAAGAGACCGTTTGCGAAATGAAGAGCTGGCTGCAGGATCACTTTTCTCCCGATTGGGAGATTGGAGAATATTACGGAAGGAAATCACGGGTGATTTAGGCCACAGGAGAGAAATGTGTGCCCATGCCCGAATTCTTGCCCTCGAAGAAGCTATTGACACCGAGTGGGTATATATGTGGGATAAGTTTGGTGGTTATTTGCTTCTTTTGCTTGGTTTGACCGCCAAGGCCGAAAGGGTGCAGGTAAATACGATCAAGGTCAACCTAGTTGTGTTTTTCCAAAACCTTCTTATGATTTTGTAATCCAATTCCTTTATTTTTTGGGTTCAGGATGAGGTTAGGTTGAGACTCTTCTTGGATAGCATAGGTTTTGCTGATCTCAGTGCAAAGAAAATCAAGAAGTGGATGCCTGAAGACCGCAGACAGTTTGAAATCATACAGGAGAGGTTAGAAATTCAAATTTGAAAAAATGAGTTAATTTACAGGAAAAGACTTCAGACTTTTCATATTGGCCCAATCAAGCGCAGTGCTTACCACTTGCGATCTAGTATCAAGCTTTCAATGTTTTTATTTTTTCCAAAAATGACTTCCAACAACTATATGGCGAGACATGTCAATATGTTGACTTTAATGTCATCGGAAGTCAAGTTTGATATAAAGATAAAAACTTCAAATATTTAATTGGGACAGAAAATCCTGAAAGATCATTTTTTTGAAAAAATTAATTGAAAGCTTCTGTATTTAATTGCTGAAAGGGAATCTTATAGAACCACCAGATTGAACTTTGCACGCCTCACCCACACCATGACANAAAAAAAAAATAGATATCATAGAAAACCTCGTGTAATTGTGGAAATGCAAAGTTTGGATTGTTATTATTTTTTTCTCCTGAAATATAAGGTAACAAAATTCAGTATTACTTTTGTTATTCCGACAACTCTGTTGATGCTTTCAGCTATATACGAGAGAAGGAGATGGAAGAGGAAGCTCTGATGCAGAGACGTGAGGAGGAAGGTAGAGGCAAAGAGAGGAGAAAAACTCTTCTCGAGAAGGAGGAACGCAAGTGGAAGGAGATCGAGTCTTCTCTCATATCATCCATCCCAAATGCTGGCAGCCGGGAGGCAACCGCCATGGCAGCCGCTGTCCGTGCAGTTGGAGGTGATTCAGTACTTGATGATTCATTTGCACGCGAGAGAGTATCCAACATTGCTCGTAGGATTCGTGCGACTCAATTGTCTCAAAGAGCACTGCAGGTCTGTTGTAACGTTCATTTAATTTAATGAATTACCAAGCCAAAAAATATTCTGGATATTCTAACCCTTTTGGTTTGTGGTATTTAGAAATAACCATATTGATTCCCCGTGCTTTTCCATCTGGGTGTTGGTTGACCTGTGGAATTTTGTTGATGGCATCCAGTATTTTTCAATTATATCCATGAACTTTCTGGAGTACTATAAATGGCTTGAATTATTTTTCTTGCTATTTGTAATACTTAAATAAATGTAAAACGAATGTAAGATCAAGGATGGATGAGTGTTTTTCTTTTCTTTTGTCCCTCTTGTTGTGCTTCAAATCTCGAGGGTGGTTTTCTAGTTATCCCTTTTAATTGTAGTATTCTTAATAGTATAGGGATGTCACTGCAAATATATTTGCTTACATCAGCCATTTTATTTGGTCCTTAAATGGAATGTGAAAAAAAAAAAAAGATGTAAAACGAATCTAAGATCAAGGATGGATGAGTGTTTTTCTTTTCTTTCGTCCTCTTATTGTGTAGTTTTCTAGTTATCCCTTTTAAACTGCCATGTAGGGATAAATAGGGCATGATAAATGTGTGGTCTTGTATTTGGTTACTGAGATTATCTGTTCCTTTCTTTTGTCTTATTACAGACTGGACTTGCTGGTGCTGTATGTGTTCTTGATGATGAGCCGACTACAAGTGGCAGGCACTGTGGCCAGATTGACCCTAGTTTATGTCAGAGCCAAAAGGTCAGCTTCTCGGTCGCTGTGTTGATCCAACCCGACTCTGGCCCAGTCTGTCTCTTGGGCACTGAATTTCAGCGAAAAGTCTGCTGGGAAATTCTCGTGGCTGGTTCTGAACAAGGTATTGAATCTGGGCAAGTTGGCCTCCGTTTAATAACAAAGGGTGATAGGCAGACTACTGTTGCAAAGGAGTGGAGTATAAGTTCGTCATGTGTTGCTGATGGAAGGTTTGTGGCCTTTCCAGTTGAAGTTTGATTGCCCTATATATTTCCTTACGGCACTTTTTGCATTGTTTGTTGTTTTCATTATTTCCATAAATACATAAAAATTATACTTGTCATAGGAGAATCGTTTATTTTAGTTTTCACTTCCCACATCAAAATATATCAAAATTCAAGCCTATCAGTGACGTATCATCTTTTAGTAGTGCGCCCGCCACCACTACCATTACAGCCTGAGATAGAACTTACTTCAATTTAATTGGATCAACCACTTGCAGTTCCATTAGCATTGTATTATATATTGGAAAGTGAGGTACCAACATTAAGAACTTTCAAACTCTTGTATTCATACCAACATTAAGAACTTTCAAACTCTTGTATTCATAAAGTTCATTTGAAAATTGCTCACGCAAACATAACCTCATTTCATCATGCAAAAACCGGCAGTCCCATCATCTCCCACACTGGAGACTACAAATTGGAAAAACGGAGATATAATGAAATATGTTCTAAATTTTGCTTTTTTCTGCCTTCTCCTTTTACTTTTTAAGTCCGCTAGACCTCAAACAATCTCTCTTGCAGGTGGCATGTTATTACGATGACTATTGATGCCGATTTAGGTGAGGCGACTTGCTTTGTTGATGGGGTTTATGATGGCTACCAGACGGGACTCCCTCTCAATGTGGGCCATGGTATATGGGAACAGGGCACGGACGTTTGGATTGGTGTGAGGCCCCCAATGGATCTGGACGCATTTGGGAGGTCGGATAGTGAGGGCAACGAGCCAAAGATGCACGTGATGGATGTTTTCTTCTGGGGAAGGTGTTTGACTGAAGACGAAATTGCTACTCTTCCATCTGCCGTTGGCCCTGGGGATTACGATTTGATCGACTATACTGATGACAACTGGCAGTGGGAAGATTCTCCCCCTAGGGTTTGTTCCTATCTTTGCTCTTCTCTTTGAAAAATAAGTACGAGAAAACTACCCCTATTGTTTAGTCTAATTGCATCAGGATTTCAATTACCTGTCAAAAATACAAGTTTCCTTCGTAGAGTAACAAATGTCAGTGTGTTTGTATTTTTTATCAGTGACAGTTCTCTATAGATTGTTATGCTAAACCGAAGGGCCATTTTGTAGGGGTAACTTCAAAACCATCAGTCAGAATTGGGGTAGGTAGAAAAAAATGGCGTATAAAAATTTCCAAGGCATATTAAAAAACCCCTGTTTGATTCTGTCTAGTACTTTCCCCCTTCATGAACAAAAATCTTTCAGAATAAGAAACCATTCCATTTACTTAATTATCACAGTTACCCCTCTAAATCTTAAGTTTAAAAAAAATGGTATAAGCTTGTAACTTCAATGGATTTTTTTAGTGATTATTCCAATCCTCAGGGGGTAGTTTTGTAATTATCCGCACCGTTTCTATTTCTATAATCCAACTCTCAATTACAATGTATATATATGTATATGCTATTTTCTGCTATAAACCTATTCATGATTATTCTTTTGCCTGTTTAACTTAGGTCGAGGACTGGGAAAGCGACCCTGCTGAGGTTGATCTGTACGACAGGGACGAGGTAGACTGGGATGGACAGTACTCGAGTGGGCGAAAAAGGAGATCTGACCGTGAAGGGGTTATTCTGGACGTAGATTCCTTCACGAAAAGGTTGAGGAAACCTAGGATGGAGACTCAGGAAGAAATCAACCAACGCATGCGCTCGGTTGAGTTAGCTGTTAAGGAAGCTCTCTTGGCAAGGGGAGAGCTGCATTTTACCGATCAGGAGTTTCCACCCAGTGACCGTTCTTTGTTTGTTGATCCCGACAACCCACCATTTAAGTTGCAGGTACCTTTTGTTTGTTTGTAGGAGTATTTAGTATCTACATACTCTAAAGTAAACTGCTCATCTCAACAAGAATGCTTCTGATTCTGGGAGAGTGTTTTTCTTGTAATTTTTTTTTAACTTTCTTTCTTTAGTTTTTGCCCTCTGTACTTTGCCTAATAAATACCCTGTATAATGTGCCTTACTTTGCTTGATGTGGAATATCATAGGTTGTTTCTCAATGGATGAGACCAGATGAAATAGTGAAAGAGAAGCATCTGATTTCTGGTCCATGCTTATTTTCGGGAACTGCGAATCCTTCTGATGTTTGTCAGGTACTATTGGCCTCGAAGGGTGTTTATATTCTGAGTCATTTACTGCTGTGCTTACTTGTGTAAATTTATCTTGAAACAGGGCCGGTTAGGCGATTGTTGGTTTTTGAGTGCGGTTGCTGTGCTGACTGAGGTGTCACGAGTATCCGAAGTCATTATAACTCCAGATTACAATGAGGAAGGAATTTATACAGTTCGGTTTTGCATTCAGGTTGTTCAGATTCTGAAGTCACATTTATTTCAGTCTATCTGTTTGTCTTCATAATCTTGTCCATGGCCTGGAATTGTTTCGTGACAACATGCAGGAAATACCCCTTTTACATGTGAATTTATCATTACCAGCTTTCATTGAGGTGGACTCATACCATTTTTGTTGCTATCAGTAGGATTTAAGTTTTTTTATATGAATAATCTAAAAATATGACAGCAATCTTGTCTGCTGCTATTTTAGTTTTTATTTCCATTTTATTTTTATATTCTTTATTCTTGTTGTCGTGTTTTCTCATTCTTAAGTTACTGGATTTACATTTTTTTGTTACTATTGACCTTAGGGCGAATGGGTTCCTGTTGTTGTTGATGATTGGATCCCGTGCGAGTCACCTGGCAAACCTGCATTTGCAACCAGCAAAAAGGGAAATGAATTATGGGTCTCTATACTCGAAAAGGCGTACGCCAAGCTTCACGGGTCATACGAAGCATTGGAAGGTGGGCTTGTGCAAGATGCTCTAGTTGACCTAACTGGAGGTGCGGGTGAAGAGATTGACATGAGAAGTGCTCAGTCCCAGATTGACCTTGCTAGTGGAAGACTGTGGTCTCAACTATTACGTTTTAAACAAGAAGGCTTCTTGCTCGGTGCTGGTAGTCCATCGGGATCAGATGTGCATGTCTCGTCTTGTGGTATCGTGCAAGGCCATGCTTACTCGATATTGCAGGTTCAACGATCTCTTTTTCTTATAATAAATTAAGGGATGTTTGCAAACATTTTCTCATAATCTGTTTTGGCTACACAAATGTGTTGTTGTGCTTTTACTATTACGCTAATGAGAATTGTTTATGGTTTTATTGTCAAATACATGTTTTTAACTTATTCACCTTTTAGCTTGTATTTGCATAATTCTGTCGGTTTATGATTATCAACTAACTTTTTGCTATAAGTAAGGTAAATCATTTTTTTCCTTTTCCTGAAAAATATTTGATCCCATATATATATTTTTTTATACTTGCTCAGGTACGCGAAGTAGATGGACATAAACTTGTTCAGATCAGAAATCCTTGGGCAAACGAGGTTGAGTGGAACGGGCCTTGGTCTGACTCATCACCCGAGTGGACGGATAGGATGAAGCACAAACTGAAGCACACACCTCAAGTACACGAAATTTACTCCTAGAATTTTCCTTAGTGAAAAACTTCCTTTTGTAAAAAAGCTGACTTGAATTTATTTCTGAAAATCTAATTTTGCAAAAATGTGAAACAGGCGAAAGACGGTATCTTTTGGATGTCGTGGCAGGATTTCCAAATACATTTCAGGTCAATATACGTATGCCGTGTCTACCCACCAGAAATGCGTTATTCCATTCACAGTCAGTGGCGTGGGTACAGTGCCGGGGGATGTCAAGACTACGAGACTTGGCATCAGAACCCACAATTTCGACTTAGAGCCAATGGCCCTGATGCATCATTACCCATTCACGTGTTCATTACCTTAACTCAGGTATAAATATTATGCTGCCTACTTAGTAGGAAAAAACCTGCTCTAAGTTCAATAACCTATAAAATAAACTGACCTGCTCATTAACACTCACTGAAAGATTTTACGGTGTAGTTTGACCAAATTATCCATAGTTCGTAAAATTATGCACCTTTTATTTTAATGGGCACAAAAAAATAAAATTGTTTTTAGGGTGTGAGGTTCTCAAGAACGACAGCTGGTTTTCGGAATTATCAGTCGAGCCACGATTCAATGATGTTCTACATAGGCATGAGGATCCTCAAGACGCGGGGCCGCCGTGCGGCCTACAACATCTATCTTCATGAGTCGGTAGGTGGGACCGATTATGTAAATTCCCGTGAAATATCTTGCGAGATGGTCCTCGATCCTGATCCTAAAGGTTATACCATAGTACCCACCACTATCCACCCAGGGGAAGAGGCCCCTTTTGTTCTCTCTGTCTTCACCAAGTCGTCAGTTACTCTCGAGGCTTTATAGCATCACGAGTCCTTTTTAATTTTGGATTAATTTTTTCTTGGTGCCTTGAACGCTGATTTTCGGGCCTCCTGTTGGATATGAGCGAGGAAGCTGGTGGCGCGTGAAAAGGTAATTTTTGTTGAGGTGGATTAATTGGTTTGTTTCTTTATTTTAGGAATGAAACTAGTAGTCGATCGTAGACGGAAACAAAAATTTATATATTATCTGTACTTGTATATATCGAAAAATTTAAATTAGATAAAGTGTATTACATTTTAAAATTTTGACTATATGTGAATACATAATATAAATATAAATTATTTAACTTCTATATAAATCAGGTATTTTTTTTTACTGTAATGCAAAAATGAAATATTAGCTATAAAATTATTTAATATAGTATATTCGGAAAATTTTAAATCTGGTAACACTGTTACAGAATAAAAAATTAATAATAATAAGGTTTTACTTGTGTAACTGTCGTGAATGCTGGTCATAAAGATTTTTATTAAATGAAGTCCTATTTTTATTAATTGCTGGCTGAATAAAATTTATTGAAGCTTGCCAGCAATTATTATTATTATGTACCTTCTTGACACATTATTGTTGTTGTTATTATTATTATTATTATTATTATTATTATTATTATTATTATTATGCCTATTTTCCTACCATTAATGAGGCGTGTAGAGGTTTATTGGTTTGATTATTATCTTGATTTTGCAGGTTTGGATCTTCTTCCAATTTGTGGATCTACCCAATGTGGGTCCCATGAAGGACATTGACCGCACGGATCGATCTGTATGTTAGCTTATCCTCAATTCTTTTTGGGCTTATTATCACCTGGGCCTTCACCTCCAACAGGTTCTCTCTCAGGGAGGAAACATGTGTACATGAGTAGACTGATGTAAGAATATAGGACATTTGCCTTGTAAATGGACAAGGGCTACATGCAAAAGGGTTCAAAGGTTAATAGTTTTAACATCTTAGTATATTAACGTGTCCAGTAGATAAACAACAGAACAACAATTGTGGCCAGGGGCGTATTTGAAGCTTCAGCTGCAAGTTTTTGAATCTATGGTCATGAGCAAGTTAATTGTAGTATTCTTGTTCTCCTAGAAATTATCAGCATATATTGTCATTCAAGCCAGTTTGACTTTTTACGCAAAATTTTACCGGATGCTAGTGAAGCTTGATATTTAGTACGAATGAGTGTAATGACAGAATCCATTAAAATTATCCAACAAGCTCTAGAAGGAATTTTGGGGGGAACCTTACGATAACTTAGAAATCTGGCGCTTTACCGGATGATTTTGAATGTCGATTTAATAGTGAAAAACTTTCCCCAACCTTTGAATTGTGCAAGCAAGAACTTTATGTAAGAGTTGAAGTTGATGTTTTCTAGGCGTTTGGACATGTTTGTGAGTACATTTGTGAATCTGTGATTGGTAAATGGTTTTAATCTAGCGAACACGGCAATCATCACTGGGTTGGATCATTTGAAGCCAGTTTACTTCATGGCGAATTTTCACATATACCAAATGATGATTTGGAAGTAATTGAAATTATATCATGGTGCAAATCTTAATTGCATCTTTACAAATTTCATGGAAATTAATTGTAAAGATGTAAATATCAA